GCCTGAAGTGTCTGCACACTCAGGTCCATGTCTTCCGCCTCCAGGCCCTGCAGAGGCTCCTTTATGGTGCAGGTAGTCTGGCGTGGAGCGTATTGGCGCACGCCTTCCTGTGCCGCTTCCGAGGGCTCCGATATGACCGGCAGCTCCTTTGTCTCCATCCGAGAGGTCTTCCACGAGACCTCTCCGGGCTGCCGGTCTTCTACTAGGACCTCATCCAGACCTGGAAACTGTTCTCAGTGAGTAGGTCTGTGGCGGCCACCGTGGGGGAAGATCTCCTCACGGAGCCCCTACTACACAACCCCCAGCTCCGTGTGCAGGTGGCGGAGTCCCCCATGGTGCGCCAGAGGTTGGTCCTAGCAGAAGTCACCAAAGTCGGAGACCTCCTGGACTACGACCAGGGAGACTGGCTGGATCCCTTGCCGCTTGCTCAGCGCATGGGGCTCTCCAGACCTTGTACTTCCCAGCATGTCCTTCAGGAGGTGAGGGCCGCTTTGCTGCCCGCTGCTCGGGACTATCTCGACCGGATCCTGTGAGAGGGCACGCCCTGCCCACCCCCCAATCCGAGCCCTCCAGACTTTTTCATCAGGCCCCTGCCCCGTGGACCCAACCGGGCCACCCCCCAGTCCCTTTGCCGTGAGCCGGCTGCAGAATCTGCAGCCAGTTCTGTTCCGGACCGCGCCAAGGAAACATCTATACACGCTCGTGCTCCATGTTCTTCATGTCCTCACCCTCGCGTCCCGCCCTGATACGAAGTGGCGGGACCTTCTGCCACCTCTGGAGGGTGAGGAGCCCCGGTGGGCCAGCCTTTATTCTACTCTGATCCCGAAGCCCACTGGGGACATCAGTTGGCAGCTCCTTCACGGAGCCGTGAACACGGGCGTGTACTTGGCGCGGTTTATCCCTATCCCAGACACCTGCCCCTTCTGCGGCATGAGGGAAACCCTGGCGCATGTTTACCTAGAGTGCGCCAGGCTGCAGCCCCTATTCCGGCTCCTCACGGATATTTTGTTAAGATTTTGGTTGCACTTTTCTCCTCACCTTTTTATTTATGCACTCACTATCCATCGCCTCATGAAATCACCGGATCTCCTGGTCAACCTCCTCCTGGCCCTGGCGAAACTGGCCATCTATAAAACCAGGGTGAGGAGGTTGGCCGATGGAGTCTCCTGTGACTGTGGGGCCTATTTCCGATCCTCCATCCGTTCACATATCTGGGCAGAGTTCCTCTGGGCAGCGTCCACTGACTCCCTTGATGCCTTGGAAGAGCAGTGGGCGCTGTCCGGGGTTCTCTGCTCAGTGTCCCCGTCTGGTTCACTTCGTTTGACCCTTTGACCACACTTCTGTCCCTGTTCTTTTATTAGTTGTCCCCCATAATTTTTTGGTCTTCAGGTCCTGTGGACCCCCTCTTAGGCTGGGGGGGGGGGGAAGAGGGATCCTTTAGCAGCCAAAGCCCACCCACTTCCTGGATCCCAGTAGGATCACTCTCCTGTAGCCATCTGGCCTGACCCTGTCACAGTGGTTAAAGTCAAAAGAGATATATGTTGAGATAAAGCTAGGGAATGCATGTGAATGGAACACTAAGTGGAGATAACCGGATGACCCCCGGAGGGCAGACTGGAATCCACCCAACAGCCCCAAGGATGGGAAAAACCAAAGAACAAGTTAACATGTGGCAGCCATCACAGAGCCATCATGGATGTGCCATCTGCTGATTGATTCAGCAACAGCATGATGAAGCCACCTCCATAGACTGCCATAGGAATAAACTCCTATAAAAATAGACCCTAAAGACTAAGGACTTTGAATCTGGTTTTGCAACCACCTCCAGAAGCATCGGATGCGCATCTGACAAAGACTCCGTTCCACCCTCGTGTCCAGGTTACCCAGCCAGTAACTTGGCATGAGCAACCTCTAGGCTGGTAACTATAACAACTTTGCAGAACTTGTATGTGTATGTGTGTGTGAGTAAATGGAATGTAGTAAATATAACTGTCTACTTGCTTTGCTTCTTTTAGTATTTTGTATGAGTACATGGGATAGAATATTTATGATTACTTGTTTACTGTGAATACAAAAAAGCATAGTAAACATGGCATTTTGCCTCATCCCCTTTTAAAAGATCTTGTTGGTTTTTATTTTATTGGTACAAAAAAGAGCAGAAGCAAGGGGTGGCGCCTTAGCCCCCTGCCAAGAAAAGTGCGGGACCCACCATACCAACATCAGCCATTTTGTCACATTAGGTTCTTACATGGTCACCATCAATGTAGCCTTTGAGTGCTTGTTTCAGGCTTACAACTAAAGATCTCTCTTCTTTGGGGCCTGGTCCTTCTCCCATCAGTGTGGATGGTGCAGAATCAAGCTCCTAGTGCAAAGGGTGCTGGGCTCTGTTCCTGTTACATTCATAGCACGCACACTGAGGAATTAGATAAAATACTCTTTCTGGAAGGTTGCAATGTCACTGTACTTTATTTCTTAAAATCCAGAACCTTAACATACAAGAACCAAAACCAGAGCGAGATAAAGCAGGCTGCTCCGTAAGACAGAGGCACAACTCACCCCCATTTAACTGACTGCTGAAAGACCCAGACTGCATGTTTCCTTAAAGAGCCCACAGCTGGCAAGCAGGATCAGGAAATCCCCTGAGAATTTGAAGTGTTAGATTATAATTTTAGCCGTTTTCCAATGACAGCCATTGTGTGTAGCAATCATACATCACATAGTTAGAGATAATCTGTTTGGAGGGAACAATACACTTTTGCTGGTGCTATCCCAGGGAGTGTGTGAGGAGCAGGCTGTGGCAAGGGGGGCGGAGTCTTGCTGTTGGCCAGCCTGGCTCACTCCAGGCTCAGCTCCAGCCCAGAGTTTAAAAAAGGGAAGAAGGAGAATCTGGGGAACTACAGCCTCACCTCTGTCCCCAGAAAAATCATGGAGCAGGTCCTGAAGTAATCCATTTTGAAGCACTTAGAGGAGAGGAAGGTGATCAGGAACAGTCAACATGGATTCACCAAAGGCAAGTTATGACCAACCTGACTGCCTTCTATGACGAGATAACTGGCTCTGTGGATATGGGGAAAGTGGTGGACGTGATATACCTTGATTTTAACAAAGCTTTTGATACAGTCTCCCACAGTATTCTTGCCAGCAAGTTAAGGAAGTATGGATTGGATGAATGGACCATAAGGTGGATAGAAAGCTGGCTAGATCATCGGGCTCAATGGGTAGTGATCAATGGCTCGATGTCTAGTTGGCAGCCGGTATCAAGCGGAGTGCCCCAGGGGTCTGTCCTTGGGACGGTTTTGTTCAACATCTTCATTAATGATCTGGATGCTGCTGCTTTGCCTTTCTGCTCAGTGGCTATAAACTGTGTAATAATCCACAGATAAGTGACCACATTGGTCTTTCTAAGCAAGCACATTTAGGCTTAAGGTTTGCCGGACAAATAAAAAAAATAGAAAAAAAAATTAGTTTGTGGCTCACCTGAAACACTTTTTTTTTAAACTTTTGGTGAACCAAAAAAGTTGAAAAAATTTAATTTCAAAATGCTGTGTTCAACCTGAAAGGAAACATTTCATTTAATTGTCAAGGTGTTTTTAAACCTTCTTTAACAATAACATTGAAGTAAAATTGGAAAGTAAAAGTTGTTTTGCGTTGAAACACTGTTTAGAAAATGTTGAGAACAAAACTTTGATCTTTTTGGAGTTTGGTTTCCCCAACCAAAATGATTTGGTGAATTCTGCATAAATTTGCAAAATGTTTCAGTTCTCCAAAATCTTCACTCTTCAGCCAAATGAATTGTGCAAAATATTTCACTCAACTTTTGTCAATGGTGCTCGAACCCCCTAAGGAAAACTGTGTGCAGCAGAAGATTGAAATCAGAACTAAGTCTATTAGGGAGCAGATGTTATCTAAAAGGTGTATGCACACGTCGTCTCATTGGATCTAAATAGCCCCAGACCTTTGGCTTTTGGGGGCCTGTATATAAAGTATCTGTGCCAAGTACATGGAAAATCAGCAGCTACAGCATGTGCCTACAGGACAGTTGAGAAGTTTGAGGGTGCCCAGGGATGGGGATGTAGTCAAGTCATTCTATCACTACATCACTTTTAAACGCTGTCTTCTGCTGATCAGTGTCCTTTGGCCTCTTGATAGGCTGTATTTTAAGCTCACAATCTTGATTCAAACTGGAGCAGAGATGATCTGAGAGCAGTGATTTCCCTACACCCACCCACCCCCAGTTTTGTGAACTAGTTACATGCCAATTTAGTGACTGTTTGGAAATTTAAATTGAAATTGAAATATTAATACACACTTTAAAAGCATATTGTGACAAATCTCTGTCCTCGTCTCCATGGGTCCTGCGTTTCCTGACCGATTTTGCTAGCCTCAGAGGCTCACTGTGACCCTCCACTTAACCCTTCTCTCTCTCTACAGACAAGGGTCACAGTCTACAGAGCCATTTTCATCATAAGCCAGCAAGGGAGATGAGGAGAAACTATTCTCCCTTGTGTTAGAGCAAAGGAGAACTACTCGCCTATTATCCCAGCTGTTTCCCCATGGCCATAGCCCCGTTTCCCGGATATATGTATAGCAAGACAATCAATCAAGGAAGTCGGACATATGCATCCTGAAGACCCCCAGAAGAATAATCAATCAAGGAGGTCCAACAGATATATCCTATTTACCCCTAGAAAGGAATTTAAAAATTCCATAGGTTAGCAGAATGTATGCACGTTAAGTTGTTTGTTACTGGGTATAAAAAGGCCTGCTTTGCGCTTGTAAGGTGTGTCTCTCTCTGGCACTAGCCGAGGGGAGCACCCACTCAGCTGACTGATCAATAAAGAACTTGAAGCCGTCTTCTAGACTCCTGTGCCTCCTTGGGGTAATTGGGCAGCTCCAGGGGGAAACGAGCGCATTTGGCTAACAATGGCACCCCAGATGGGACTTCTCTCCCTGTAGAGGGCACTGACCGACAGCCGAGGGCGATTCCGAGGAGTGGCCACCTCGAGCTGTTGGTTTGCTCGGGCCTCGGATCTCTAAAGAGAGCTCTGAAGGACACGGAAGCAAGACGGCTTCAGAAGAAGGGGAAGTCTGACTGCCGGACGCGGCCACTTCGGGCGGTAAGTGCGTTTACCTCCTGGGTTTGAGGAATAACGCCCCCGAGGTGTGGGTTGGACGGTGGAAATCCCCTAGGCAGCCCGTATAAGGGAAGGTATATTAACATTGTTGTAGTATTATAAGTGTATTGTCGTCGTGTTTTTGGTTAAAGGGGAAGCAACCAACGGCCAATGAGTAACGTCACTAACTCCACCAGTCCATGGGCCGTTCTTAACAACTATTGGGACTTGGAGCAGCCTCAGGGATTACTCTTGTTTGTGGGAGGGGTAATCTTGTTTCTCCTCTTAATGGTGTGTTGGAAACCAAGATTGTAACTGATTAAGGGATCTGTGTAAAAGATGAGTGAGTGCCGCTGACAGGTCTGAGGCTTAAGCTGACTTCAGCCGCCCCAAGACTCCTGCGAGGGGAAACCCGGTGACCAGGATATCTTGACTGCAAGGGGGGGTCAGCCGAACCTTGTGACCCAGCGGATATCTGAGTTAAAACTAGATCCCTAAAAACCCCTTGATACCTCTGTCTTGAACAAACCCCTGGGTAAAGCATAATGGGGTCCGGACAAAGCACCTTCTCCAGTACGCCCCTGGGGTGTATGCTGGATAACTGGAAGGCGTTTAGACGCCAGGCTGATTATGGAGCTGTATTATGTAAAGACAATCTTGTGAGATTCTGTACTCTTGAATGGACAACCTTCGGGGTGGAATGGCCCGAGGGAGGGACACTCAAACCAGAAATTGTACAAGCAGTACATAGCATTGTGACCCGGGTTGGGCATTGGGACCAATATCCCTATATAGATATTTGGCAGGGCCTCGTAGCCAATCCTCCCCCATGGTTACAGAAATGTAAATTACAAACTATTAAGACCTTAATGGCCTGTGCCCCTGTTAGGAAATCCTGTCCCCCTGTTAAGAAATCTTGTCCGCCGACTGATTCCTTCTGCCCCTGATCCTATGCCCCCTCCCCCTTTGTATCCTGGTCTCCCCGTTCTGGCATCCTCAATTGAAATCCCCCCCCACATCTCTGAGGATAATGCCTCAGCTGAAAGGGGTGAGCCAAGCCACCAGGGCTCTT